TCATGTGTTGTTGTACAGTGTGAAGCTGGTCCAGTCAAAAGTAAAATCAAAGTAAAATTTATGGAGAACCTGTGGCTAATTGTTTAGAAAATCCTCTTGCCCCCTCCCTTGAAAAATATCTTTGACCTCAGAGCTTCCATGCCACTCTATCTCCACCACAAATGAAAAATATGTTCAAACAACTACCTGCTATGCAGGCTACTACTCATAGAGAGAACTGAACTGCTACATTCTATAATAACTACTGACAGAAGGTACAGGTTGTATATTTCCACACCTTTATCAAATTTCAGAATCAATATCATTGATCGTGATTACCGGCTATGAGGGCATGTATGTGATTCATTTTAAGCAAAAAGAAAACTGAGAACTATTCCAGTCTTATGAGACACTAGTTTGAGTAAACAAGTGTTGAAAGGCGCGGGTCACATTAAAAAAATTAAGCCCTTAGGGTCCTTAAAGGACCTAAAAATATAGTCTCTTAGGGTGTATTTCTACTGTCTCTTAATGTTCACAAGTGTACATGTACAGTATGTAGGTTATGTACGTAAAATGTATGCATGTAAATAAAATAGGGCAACGTATGGAAGGTCACGCATTAACGTAAAAGTTGAACATCACTCAACGAATTGCACAATATATTGACAAAGTTCGTCCTTTGTTATGTCTCTGGAAATTTGAACCGCCTCACTGCTTATGATTAAGATACTTGTAATGTATATAAATGACTTATTTCAACAACGAGTGTTGATGCTTTCGTAGCAACCGTGAAAGTGACAACCTCGTCCCCAGGGTTCTCTCACGAGTATGCGTGAGTGAATGTACAACTCAGGCACCCTTCAGCAAAAACGAACTATGTCTTCTTCATATAATTGGTCAGTGTGTTAATGTTGGGGCCAAAGAGCCCATCTCTGTCAATCCAGAGTCAGCAAGTGACACATTTGCATATTGGAACCTATCACAAAAACCCTTTAGGTTAAAAAATTGACTTACATTGAAGGTACATTACAGCATTATTTATTGCTGCTGTTCAACATTTCTGTTGTCCAAATTTAACAATTCTGGCTTCACTTACATAAGCTGTTCCAAGTGAAAAGTTTATTAAGGATGAGTTAGTCATTCATCTAAAGTGTCTTAGTTACATCAATGTTATATTAGCCAAATAGTACTATATATGTTAGAACATGTACTTAGCCGGATTATAAAAAACCACTAAAAAATGTCCTTGAAAAGTGGCTAAAAATATGTATGGAAACCCCTACTTAAAATGGCTATGCAGCAACATGAAACCCTGAGGAAAGGGTTCAAGAAAAAGTAACGTTGAAGACCTTGATATTTTAAAAACTACAGTATTTCAAAATTAATAGAGACTGCTGGTAATATTTTTAAAAATTTTAAAAGGATGCAAAACTATTAGTAAATTTTAAAATATATAATCTATTTACCAAGTAAGAAAGGTTATCCCAAAATTATACAGAATTGAACAACTGTTGTAATAATCACGCAAAGTATTTAAAAAGGAACTTTGCAAAACCACAAAAAATTGATACGACTACTGACCTTAGGTAGAAAACTAAAAATCTTACGCTTGAGACATTTATAGTAGTCCAAAACCATCCCACATGCGCTAGCACCCGAATGTCTCTAAACTGTGCTGTCAGAATATTTTAAAATTTCTGACATATTTTAATTTTGTTCCCATTTCTCTCAATGGTTAGTAGACCTTTTTACTGATACGCCGGCCATATTGAATTAATTGGGTTAAAGGAGTATTATGGGATGCCCAGGAGGGGGGGGGCATGAGCCTGATCCAATATACCCGCAACAATATTTACGCGCGCTTTTTGGGCCATTTTTTCTTTAAGTTTTCCTAGAAAAAGTTTGTAATGGGAAAAAACATTGTTGTGCCGTGTGCGGACGTAAAAATGGTTGCCTTTTTCCCAAGAAATATACATTGAAGTTCTCTTTTTGCCCGAAAAGTGCACGTAAATACTGAACAAGTGCCCCCTGGGCATCTTATAATACTCCTTAAATCTACTAAATTAAAATATGGCCCCCGTATCGGTAAAAAGGTCTATTACATTGTACTACACTTTATTGTAAAATTAAAGTTACAACTAACATTCATTGGTTTCATGTCTGTAGATGATTTTTTGTATGCTGATCATACAATATTACTGGTCTGTACATGTGTGCATGTGTTGTATATTTATTATTCATAGGTTGTTGACACTCCAGGAATCCTTGATCATTCATTAGAAGAAAGAAACACAATAGAAATGCAGGTTAGAAAGTTTGTCAATGATGTCCCATTTTTGTTACAAGTCATTGTGATTTTCGTTAAAAGAAAGATCTAAACATTTACTTGAATTTTTTAGGCAATTACCGCCCTTGCTCACTTGAGAGCAGCAATTCTCTACGTGGTGGACATTTCAGAGCAGTGTGGTCACACTCTTGAGGAACAGATAGAGCTGTTTAATGGCATTAAACTTCTGTTTGCAAACAAACCCTTGCTGGTGCTCTTAAACAAAATTGATGTCCTTAGACTTGATGAGCTTTCTGAGGAGAAGAAAGAGTTGATTAAAGTTTTTGATCAAGAGGGTAATATTCTGCTTGATCTTCATAACATTGCAGTACGGTACCATGCTGCAGTACAGTCCACCTACTTTACCACAGTTGACCCAGGTAACCCTTAATGCTCTGATCATCATCTCAGTATCATTATCATCATCATCATCATAAAAATCATTATCTTAGTGATTATGATCATGATCATCGTTGATCATCGTGATGATGGTCATCGTCATCATCTTCATCATCATCCTTAGCCTTTGAGCAAGTTCTCCATTTGTGGGACATCATGAAAAGTAGACACGTGAGAGGAGACGTGAAAAGCAGCAGTTGAGGGAGAGAGAGGAGAGCTTGCAACGATCACTCATTAACTTTCATTTCCACCGCGGACACCCCAAAGCATTAAAACTGTCACTGCAAACGTGCCATAGATTAGAAAGTCACATTAAGACAGCCGAGGGCACATAGAATTTATTTATTTATTAAATTGCTTTCTCAACAGCTTTCCACTGCATCAAAGCAATGTTTTTGACCACTGATGTGTTTTTTTTATCCTCTGGACATTGAACTACAATGGTCCGCACGGATAAGAATTCAATACTTTGATTCTCCTTTCATTTACATTTGAAAAGTCATCCACAGTCAGAAGACTACGCTCCCGGTCACAATCACCAGTTTTTGAAACATAGTATACTTTTGTCTGTTTCGCAACTGGAGAAGAGCATTTTCGTGGACTTGGTCCTCTTACGTTTTACTCCTTAGTTGCTTCTTACTCTTTCTATTGACCTTCTTGACGGTCAGCTGCTAATTCTTCGTCAGCTACACTGTCACGTACCACTTTCTGAATTTTCTACCCTGTAGAATTCAATCAGGCGAAAAAAGCAACGTTGGAAGGCACTGCATCAACCACACGCTCAAATCTATCCTCACTTTCACTCCTCTCATTTTCAGAACTAAACAAGGCACTTGATACAAACAAATACAACTGATGAAGGGTTCTAATTTTCTGATAATCCTCAGCTCGCAACATTTTATTGGCAACACTTTCACGCATACAGCTTTGTGAGAATTACACACAGACGAAAGTTATCTTTCACAGAAGGAGAGAGCGATTTTCTGCCTCTACCAGTCTTCTTTTTCAAAGTGAGTTCAGCAATTGCTGACATAACACAGGTTTTGGTGATAATACATTTCCTGTGATCTAGGCAGGCCTGTTATCAATCCACTTTGATTTCCGGAACGTCATTTTTCCCTTCGTCTGGACAAAGTACATGTACAAATGAAAATTTATGAGAGATTGTTGCAAGCTCTCCTTTCCTTCGCCTCTCGTGGCTTTGTCGCTCGCTCTCTTGCGCATTCTCATGTGGCTCACTTGGCTTGCCCAAAGAGGAGAGCTTGTCCACAGGCTATATCATCCTCATCATTATCCTAAACTGTTGACTTAGGAGTTAAGTTTACTTGACTTTTGTAAACATAGTAAGTCTCTCCTCCATAATTAGAACTTGCCATATTAAGGCAGTGTATGTTTGTACATTATTGAAATTTTTTTTGTGTATGAACAAAGAAACAACATAGAGATAAACTCCTGGCTGTTTCTGTAGGTGTTACCCTTCTTCCATGAGTACAGTTACTGAAGAAGGCGTGATGACTGTCAGAAATGAGGCTTGTGATCAGCTCCTAGCTCAGAGAGTTGAGATAAAGATGAAGAGCAAAAAAACATCAGATGTCATGAACAGACTTCATGTTGCCATGCCAACACAGAGAGATCAGAAAGAGAGACCACCCTGCATTCCTCAGGTAATGCCGCACTATCCTAAACATCTCATAAAGGAACTGTAGTCAATCCCTAAAGCCCACAGTGATCAGTATCGACTTTCTTTCCAAGGAATGAATGTGTAATTTAATAAAGAACTAGTGAGAGTTAGGGCATTGATCACATAAGAAAATTGTCTTAGTAGGTTAACACTTGTTGTACAAGAGATAGATGAACTCTCGTGGAAGTTTGTGCTGCTTAGTATAGACTCCGTTACAGCGCTTTTCACCAACATTCGAGCTTTCTAGTTCAAAAGCTGCCTTCACAATTGCGTTTTTTGCTGCCCTCAATCATAATTACACTTTTACCATCACAAGCAATGAACCGCACAAAACGGATTGAAATCCACAAATCACAGATCACAAACCATGACCTTTTGAACCCATTTAAGTAAAGTTCTGTTTCCTGAGAGGTCCGCTAAGATGATTGACGGCAGCGAAAAACACAAAGGTTAGTTGGCTTTTGAACTTCGGAGTTCAGGTGTTTTTGAAAAACGCAGTAATGTAGACAAAAATACCACACTAGATAACTGTTTGTTTTACTGGCATAAACAGTGCCAACTATGCACAACTATGAGTTCTGTGTAAATAGAGAGTGAACACATCAGATTTTTCTTTGCATTGTCCCTTTTTTAGAGCTTAAACATAAACAAAGAGTACTAAATAAAAAAGTGTACAAAGAAAGCCCAGGGTTTAGTGGATTTTTCTATCAGGCTATTGAATTCTGTTCTTAACTCTTCTAACGGGCAAGTGAAGTTTTTTGGGGAATTCAAATTACAGACGAACTGTGCTTAAGTTATTATGCTATGCCTGTAGCTATACTTTTCCTGAATGGCAAGCTGTACTAACACTGACTTTCTTTGCACCCAGCTTCATAGTGCCTTATGATGCTTTAAATATTACTGACAAAATGTGCGTGAAATAAATCATATATGAGAACTGTGGAAATGACATTAACAAAAATGAAAAATGATCATTGCAGTTGTGATTTATGATTTTCATACATTGTAGCTTAGTTGGCTAGAGTGTCACGCTGGTATTGCGAGGTCATGGGTTCAAATTTGATGGAAGTCTTAAATCTTTTTCGGGCTTCTTACGCAATTGTGTAAATTGCATTCACAACTGCGAGGATCATTCTTCATTTGTTTTAAATATTACTGTTAGTAACCATTCTGTCAAAGTGATTGTAATACATCTATTTATTAGATCTACACTGTGTCACATTGCAAAAAATTATGTCCACAGAGAGAGTTTGGATTGTCTTATAATATTGATTCAAACTTTATTTTTGCTACTTCATATGCAGGCTGTACTGGATAAAAGGCAGGCTATGGTTGTTGAAGGAGCTCAGCCCAAGCGCAAACTGGCCAGAGATCTGGAGATTGAGATGGGAGAAGATTACTACATGGATATGCAGGAGCATTGGGATCTGGCAAAAGGTGACAAGAAACATGATATTTTACCAGAGATTTACCTTGGAAAGAATGTGGCTGACTTCATTGATCCAGATATTATGAAGGTGAGGTTTCAACTTGGAGTTGTAAGTTTCAATTTCTTTATGTGCAAAGTAACAGGTCAAACCAAGAGAGGAGCCCTAAACACAAAGGGTACTTTGTGTCCTTTTTTAATCCGCCTAATCTGAGATTGTATATGTCACTACAATAACTCGATTAATTATTTAATAATTGAGTAGATGTGTTCATAAAAAATCAGTCAATCGATCAATCAATCAATAGACTTGGCAATACAAATGAAGGCCATTTCCAAGTTACAAAAAGTCGTACTTTCAAAATGAGGCTAAATGCAAAACCTTTCTTGTGAAAACAAGTTTTATTTGCATGATAACAAAGCTTGTTTTCATATCAATGCCTTTGCTCTTACAGGGCTGCAAATAACAGTCGGTTATCGGACATAAGGCTGACCAAAATTTGCTAGTTTAGCGTCCGATTCTCCACGCGCCTTACCGCTAGGTGGATCTGAGACCTTTTTGTTATCACAAAAATAAATATTTGAATTTCTTTCCTGACAGAAATTAGAAGAGTTGGAGAAAGAAGAGGAACTGCGCGAGGCTGCAGGGCTTTGTGACTCAGAACCGGTAAGAGAGTGTCGTATTAATTTTTGGATCATTATCATCATTTTGCCTGACTGCCCCTCCCTTAAGCCAACATTTTGTCCCAAGTGAGAAGTAAGTGTTAATGTTGGCCTGTAGTAAATCTTGCCAAGATTCCCGTGGTAATTCTTACCAAGATTCTTGCCAAGATTACCATGGTAATTCTTACGAA